TAAGTCTGTCCTAGAGAGAATGAAACCAGGCTGTTCTCTGGAGGAAAGGATTTAGAGGTTCAATTTCTGATACTTTGGGCCGTTGGCTAGGAAAGACCAGTCTTTGAAGAGGGACCTCAGGCTTGGAAGGGTGGAGGGCCAGCTCAGGAGAGGAAGACTCAGAATGAGATGGATTAACTCAGTGACTGGGGAAATGGGATTAGGTCTGTCAGAGACGATGAGATTGGCTCAGGGTAGGGCAGGGTTCAGAGCTAATGTCCATTGGGTCGCTATAAATAGTAGATGACTTGATGGCACAAAAAAACAAACAGCAAAGCTGATGGTAATAAAGGAAGAAGTTCAAGCAGTACTAAAGGCATTGGCAAAAAGTAAGGTCCCAAGAATTGATGGAATACCAATTAACATGTGTTAAATGACAGAAGCAGCCCTGGATGTGCTCATCAGTCTATGCCAGGAAATATGGAGGACAATTGCCTGACAAACTGCCTGAAGGAGATCCATATTTCTTCCCATTCCCAAGAAAGGTGATCTAATAGAATATGGAAATTACTGAAAAATATCATTAATAGCACATACAAGCAAAATACTGCTGAAGATCCTTTTAAAATGGCTAGTACAGTACTAGACAGGAACTGTGAGACATTCAAGCTAAATTTAGTAGAGGCTGTAGCAATAGGCATATCATTGCTGAGGTCAGATGGATCCTGGTTAAAAGCAAAGAATACAAGAAGAATGTCTATTTGTGCTTTATTGGCTATGCAAAGGCATTTGACTGTTTGGATCATAACAAATTATGGCTAATATTGAAAAAAATAGGAATCCCTAAACACAAAATTGTGGTCATATGAAACCTACATATAAGCCAAGACGTTATTGTGGGAACAGAGCAAAAGAACACTGTACAGTTTAAAGTTAGGCACGTGTCAGGGTGTCCATACCTATTTAATTTGTAAGTTGAGCAAATTACTTGAGAAACTGGGTTCTATGAAGAAGAATGTGGCCTCAAGATTGGAGGGAAACTCATCAATACCTTCATTATGCAGCCATCACAATCTTGCTTGCTGAAAGTGAGAAGGACTTAAAAAAAATTGCTGCAGAAAGTTAAACACTGCAACCTTCAATATGAATTGCATCTCAACATCAAGAAAACAAAAATTCTCGCCATCAGACCAATAGGCAACATCATAATAGATAGAAAAAAGCCTGAGACTGTCAATGAATTCATCTTACTTGAATCCACAATCAGTACATTTTGTAGCAGCAATCAAGAGATTGAGAAACATACAATACTGTGAAAGTCTGTAGCCAGGGACCCCTCCAACTTACTGAGGCACAATAATGTCAGTTTGAGGGCTAAGCTATGCATGATTCATGCCACTTGTTATGCATCTGAGAGCTGGACAATGAATAAGGATTATAGAAGAAGAATGGGTGCCTTTGAACTGTACTGCTGGAGTCCTGAATATCCGAGGGACAGCCAAAAGAACAGGCATATGTCTTGAGGAAGATACAGCCAGAGGGCTCCTTAGAGGCAAGGATGATGAAGCTTTGTCTCATATACTCTGGGAATGTTGCTAGGTGAAATTATTACTTGGAGAGATATATCAAGCTTGGAAAAGTAGAGGGATGGTGAAGAAGACCCTTAACTAGATAGAATGACACAGTGACTGCATCAATGAGCTTGAGTGTGTCAGAGATTATGAGGATGGCACAGGAAAGGGCAGGGTTCAGGCTGGCTGTTCATAGGGTCACTGTAAATTCTACTCAACTTGATGACACCTAACAACAGCAGTGGAAGAGTCAGTGAACAATTACCTGAATATCTGCTATAATAGTTTATGTTACAGATAAATACAGAATACATGAAGACTTGACTATGTAGCTATTTTTTTAAAAATACTTATTAATTTCGAATATCTTTTTAAAATTAACACTAGAATATGCTCCTCACCTGATGGACTTTACAGGAATCAGATTAACTACATTTGTGGGGAAAACCATTAAAAAAGCTCAGTATCTATGTAGCTATTTTAAAACAAACTGCAGGGAAGTAGCCAGAATCTAACTGTCTATATTTAGACTAAAAAATTATTCTCTCCCATCTTGACACTGTGTAACCTGACTATTTTAAGTATGTGGACACAGGCTAGAAAAGCAGAATCTCAGCCTCCTTTCCAAGTTGATTGAGTCAGAATTTAGAAGTTCAGAAAGTTATCCTTCGGTAATTTGAACATTGAAACTTGAGATAATTGTTGTTGGATTCCATGGAGTGTATAACAATCCTTTGTACCAAGTGAAACAGTTTTACTCTGTTTTATACAGTTGTTATGGATGCATTGGGAAAATGGGCTGTCAATGATCTCTCTAAAGTGCTAAAAGTAACAATGTCAGTTTAAAGACTAAGGTGTGCCTGATCCATTCAATCCATGGTATTTGCAATTGCTGCTTCTTTTTTTTTTTAAAATTTATTTATTTTTCATTTCAATAAACATCTACAGAGATTTTGGAATTCCATTCAGTCATTGTTGCACCCTTCTTCCCACCCCTCTCCCCTCCCCCGTTTGCTCCTCTCCTTCAAAAGCAAAAGAAAAACTCCCTCATGGGTACGCAATTCCCACCCCACATCCCCCAACCCCAAATATAATCCACTCTGCAACCCTCATTCTGTACTCTTACGATAAACATAATGCCCTAAAATAGAAAATATTCTCTCCCCCAAAGACTTCAATGCCGTAAACATATTTCATCCAGTTTTTCTCAGTCTTACCCCCATCCCGATGTCAGCCTCATTCTACAACAGTGGCACCATATAGCATTTGCCCCTTTGTGACTGAGATACCTCACTCAGCATAATGTCCTCCAGGGTCACCCATTTTGAATAATATGCAATTCCTTCTTATATATCTGAAAGTTGAGGAATAAATAAGGATGACTGAAAAAGAACTGATGCCTTTGAAATGTGTTAGAAAAGAGTGCTGAATAATCCACTGGCTGCCAAAGAACAAATAAGTCTCTCTTGGAGGATGTTTAGCCAAGGCGCTCCCTAGTGGAAGCCCACCTAATAGCAACGAGTTATGATTGGGTTAAGTCAATGGAAAGATTAAGCTCTGCTCTTGTTGAAAAGGGACTACACCTATGATCATACTAAGGTTTGGCAAAAGTCTCTACATTTTTATTTGTGTTGTTGTGCTGTACCATCAAGTCAGAAGTAACTTGTAGAGACCTGCCACCAAGTTTTCAGCGGCAGATTAATTGCACAGGAAATTGTCCATCTTTCTCACTCAGAGCAGCTGGTGGATCTGAACTACATGACTTTGGAATGGCATTTCAGCTTCTTACCACTATGTCACCAGAGCTCCCTCATATTGGTACATTTTGTTAAACTATCCATGTAAGCAAAATATTAAAACAAAATATACAAAGAACTGGAGTCAGAAAAATAAAAAAGGATGAACTCACTTGTATTACTCAAGCTGAAGAAACTGAAGGACAAATTCAAGTCTCAAGTTGCAATACTTAAAGAAGCTATGGTAAGAATATCAGATGATCCAGGAAACAGTAAAAGAAGATGGAAGGAGTAGACAGAGTCACTGTACCAAAAAGAATTGGCTGAAATAGAAGAATTTAATGAAACAATGCATGAACAAGAGGCAATGGTGATGAAGGGAGAAGTTCAAGCTGCTCTGAAGGAATTGGCAAGCAATAAGGCCCCAGAACTCGATGGTATACTATCTGACATATTTCAACAAACAGATGCAGATCTGAACATGCTCACCAGGTTGTGCCAAGAAATCTGGACGATCCGGCCAATTGATTGGAAGAGATCCATATTTATTCACATTCCAAAAAAAAAGGTGACCTGACAGAGTATGGAAATTATAGAACAATATCACTAATGCCACATGAAAGCAAAATACTGCTGTAGATTATCCAAAAATTACTGGAAATCAACAGAGAATTGCCAGAAATATAAGCTGAGCTTAGAAGAGGCTGTGGCACTAGAGACGTCATAGCCAGTATCAGATGGATCTTGGCTGAAAACAGTGTAGTAGAATAATGTATATTTGTATTTTATTGACTGTGCAAAGGCATTTGTGTGGATGAAAAAAACAAATGGTGACTAATCTTGAGAAGAATGGGAAGCCCAGAACACTTGATTGTGCTCATGGTAAACTTATACTTGGACAAAAAAGCAGTGTCCAAAAGGAAACACTGCATAGAAATCAAGAAAGGAATGCATCAGGATGCGTCCTTTCTTCATACTTTTAAAATCTATATGCAGAACTGATTCAGAAGGCTGGACTTTATGAAGAGGAATGTGACATCAGGATCGGAGAAAGACTCATTAACAACCTGCATTATGCAGATAACACAACCTTGCTTGCTGAAACTGAGGAGGGCCTGAAGCATTTGCTACAAAAGGTCAAGGACTGAGATCTTCGATATGGCTTGAAGCTCAGCGTCAAAAATACAAAGATTCTCACCGCTGGGCCAATTTGCAGCACCATGATAGATGGAGAAGAGATTGAAATTGTTAACAGTTTCATCCTGCTCAGATCGGCAATCAAAGTTCTTGTCACCAGTAGTGAGGAAATCAAAAGACCTGTTGCATGGGCAAATCTGCTGTCAGGGACCTCTCCACAATGCTGAAGAGCAATAATGTTAGTCTCAAGACTAAGGGGCACCAAATCCAGCTCATGATCTTCTCAATTACTTGTCATTCCTCAGAGAGCTAGACAATGACTAAGGATGACAAAAGAACTGAGTTTTTGAGTTGTGATGTTAGAGAAGAGTATTGAACATACCATGGACTGCCAAAAGAACAAACAAATCTGTCCTGGAGAGAGTGATACTAGATTCCTCCTTGGAGGCAAAGATTTTGACATACTTTAGGCATACTGTCAGGAGAGACCAGTCCTTGGAGAAGGACATCATGTTGGAAGGGCGGAGGTTAGCGAAGGAGTGGAAGACCCTGGATGAGATGGATTGACACAGTGACAATGGTAATAGGAGCAGGTATGTCAGACATAGTGAGATTGGCTCAAGTTAGGATTGAGTTCAGAGCTATTGTTTGTAGGGTCACTAAAAGTCATAGTCGGTTCAATGGCACAAAACAACAACATACAGTAAAGCCAATGGTGGGCGAAGTTATGTGAACTTCTTAAACATAACCCTAAAGGAGAGTTTTTGATTCTAGAGTCTTGGAAACATAGTGTCTGGGGACATCAAGGTCAGTTGGCGAGACATAATCCACAGAGACAATGTTCTACATCCTACTTTAGTGAGTAGTGACTGCCAAGTGGATATCTTAGAAGCAACTATTGGCCTCTCCCAGTCTAGAATACAGAAACAAAGATGCATAGGAAAAAATAAATTCAAAGGATTATGGATCACCCACACCTCAGCCTCCATGTCTCTGAGACCAAGAAAAACTAGATGATATCCAACCACCATTGTTGACCTCACAAAAGGGGATCATAGTAGGAGTTCTTGGACAGTTGTTGTGTCGACTAGGCCTCATAGTGACCCTATGAACCACAGATCTGAACCCTGCCCTATCCTGTGCCATCCTCATCATCTCTGACTTACTCTAGCCCCCCCATTACAGTCGCTGAGTCAACCGATCTCACCGAGAGTCTCCTTTCCTGACCCTCAGTCTTTCCTCAAAGTACGATGTCCTTTGCCAAAGACTGACTCTTCCTTACAACATGCCCAAAGTAGGTGAGATGCAGTTTCACTATCTGTGCTTCTAAAGATCACCCTGGCTGAAACTTACTTGTTTTTTTGACCAGTCCACAGGATATTCAGCTATCTTCTCTAACATCACAACTCACAGACATCTATTTTTCTTCTGCCATTCTTATTCTTTGTGCAACTTCCAGATGCATAGCAAGTAATTAAGAAAAGATGATGGTTTGGATCAGATGCACCTCAATCTCAAACTGACATCATTGCTTTTCAGCTCTTTTGAGAGGTCCCTGAGAGCAGACTTTCCCAGTACAGCATATTTATTGATTTCCTGGTTGCTGGTACCAAGGGTGTTGATTGTGGATACAAGCAAGATGAAATAATTGATAAATTGACAAATCCTTGACAGAGTGGGAGAAAATTTGCAACATAAAAACATAAAAATCATTACTGATCTGGCAGAATCCATAGCATCTGTTTTGGGGATACTGTGCTATTTAGTCACCCTTTGAGGCCAGAACACAATTCACTCTTGTGGTCCAACTATTTGCCTAATAACAGGCCTATAAAGTGAGCCACAATACCAGCGAGATTATTCCTTAATTCAATAACTATACAAGACCAAAAGGTAAGCATCTGCCTAGAGCTAAAACTCAGAAGGAAGGGAGAGGTAAGACTGAAGGGATATATGGCAAAGGGAACCACAAGGAGCAAGCCAGAAGCGCATTTAAAATGTGAGGAATGCAGTGCCATAACCCAAAATGTGTATGACTTGTTTAATGTAAACCCTTACTCAAATTGCAATTTAAAAAGAAAACCAACCCCGCTTTCTACGAAGATGGCGCTGAAAGTAAAGAAGGAAGCCCCTGCCCCTCCCAAAACTGAAGCCAAAGCAAAGGCATTAAAGGCCAAGAAGGCGGTTTTGAAGGGCATCCACAGCCAAAAAAAAAAAAAGAAGATCCGCACGTCACCCACCTTCTGGCAGTCTAAGACGCTGAGACTCCGAAGACAGCCCAAATACCCACGGAAGAGCGCCCCCAGGAGAAACAAGCTTGACCACTCCGCCATCATCAAATTTCCCCTGACCACTGAGTCAGCCATGACGAAGACAGAAGATAGCAACACACTTGTGTTCGTTGTGGATGCCAAGGCCAACAAGCACCAAATTAAACAAGCTGTAAAGAAGCTCTATGACATTGATGTGGCTAAGGTCAACACCTTGATTAGGCCTGATGGACAGAAGAAGGCCTATGTTCGACTTGCTCCTGACTATGATGCTTTGAATGTTGCCAACAAATAGGGATCATCTAAATTGAGTCCAGCTGGCTAATTCTAAATACAAATTTTTCTCACAAAAAAAAAAAAAGAAAAAGAAAGAGAGCAAGCAAACAAGCAAGCCTGCCCAAAACAGAAAGAAGCCTTGCTCTGCTTCTTTAGTTGCTTTAGGCATTTCTTTTAGGAAATACCAAAAACTATAAAATAGTTCTTTAAACATTTGTTCCTGCGTCCTTATTTACTTAGAAAAGTATGTGATATATCATGTTTCTCCCCAGCTGGTTGGGCTGATGGTGTCCAACTGCAGGAACTAAGCCCACTGGAACGTCAGAAAATGTCCTGGCATAGGGCTGACTCCAGGAGTTAATTGGTGAGGATGGTGGAAACAACAAATTGTGACATTTGTCTTCAGTTTCAGCTATTTTAAAACATGACTTTATTTTCTAGAGTGGCCAAATTTGTGGAGGAAAAATGGATTAGTGGTTGAAGTGGGCATGAGGGAGTGGGAATGGGAGTGATTGCTGAAGAAACCCTAGTTTCTGCTTGGGATGATGATGACAAAACTGAAAATGGGTAGTGGTGATTGAAGCACAACCTGCTGGATTCAATTCATGTCTGTAAAATTGCACTAACTAGTTTCAAAACACTATTTTTTTCCCTATGTACAGTTGTATTTCTTACCACAATAAACCAATTTTAAAGTGATTTTCTTCCATTACAGCAGGGGGTGCAGTGGAATCACCCCACACTCCCTTCTTGTCTGCCCCTCTCCCCATTCTGCCAGGCTCTGCAGTCCTGACAGGTGAGGAGGGGCCTGCAACTTGGACCCAGAAGGACAATTTGCAGAAGTTGCTCCAGGTGACTTTGATGCACTTTTGATCTCACTCCAGTTTTACCCAATGCATAAGTCAAGCAATTAATTATCTAGCAGGAATTGCCAATGTATTTAATTACCTTCCCTCCCTGAAGTAGTTTTGGGAGGAGTGGAGAGTTCTTGAAGCAGCTGAGATTTTTGTGGCAGGCGTGAAAAACTGACTTTTCAGTATTATTTTACTAAATTTCTGGATAAATGGTGGGACAGAAGTGTTTTGCAAATGTTGACTTAGCTCAACTAAGTCATTATTACTGGAACTGTCAATGGTGAGGGTGTTTTTCTGCTGTGAATGAACATGGAAGTCCCCAGTGTTCTATTTCTTACATATTTTTTTGAGACACACAAAGCATCACTTTGAAAATAGGTGCCGTTTAAACAGATAAGGTTGAAATTGTGTTTATTCAGAACTTCTTGGAAAGAAGTTGCAAAGTTTGTGAAGGATTCTGCTTAGTTTGGTGACTTCTCATTACTCTCTCCTTCCCATGTCAGGGTGAAGCAGGACTTCCTGCCATATGAGACTCACCTCTGTGGCCACTGGTATGGCCAGCAGCAGAGCTGTTGTCTTCTTTCTGGCTACAGCCTTGCCTGCGCAGTGGACGGAAATGGGGACAGTCTTCTTTCTGCGTATGAGACTGCAGAACACCCAGCTGGACATTCGCTTATGATGTCAGAGGTATTTCTTTTGCTTAAATGAGTACCGTGGCATTTGTGTGCTTGCTATATAAACATTTTCTGAGTCCGCTCATTCAAATTCCCCTAGCCATATCTTTTCTTTTTCTCCCTATGCTAGTAGCTAATGGTGGCCTACCGGCAAGAACCTGGGTTGCAATTCCTAAGACACGCAGTTTGAGGTCACCAGCTGCTCCAGGGGAAAAGGATGGGCAATTTCCTTGTGTCTGATTCAATGCCTCTGAAAACCTACCAGAGGTCAGCTATGGGTTGGTTCCCACTCTACTGTACAACAACAAAATGCTAATATTAGGATCCCTGGTGGTGTGGTGATTACGTGGCTGACTGCTAATGGAAAGTCAGAGGTTTGAACTCATCAGCTGCTCTAGCGTAGAAAGATGTGCCAGTCTAATTTCATAGAGATTATTACCTTGGAAACCCAATGGAGCAGCTCTGTTTTGTCCTGTAGAGTCACTGTGGATTGATATCAGTGGACAACAATGGGTTTGGTTTGTTCAGTGTTAACACCAGGAGTCTCTGGGTGGTGCAAACAGGTAACACATGCAGCTGCTAAGTGAAAGGTTGGAGCTTAAAGTTCTCCTAAAGGTATAGTGGAAGAAAAACCTGGAAATCTACTGAAACATCCACCTGAGAATCCTTGTTCAGCTTGCTGACACACGTGGGGCGGTTCCATGAGTTAGAGTCGGTCGACTTGATGGCAATGGGTAATGTTCGTACTTGAGAGTAAGTAGAGCTGAGCTTAGAAATTGTATTTTGAAAACAGTTAAAAACTTATACAGCAAGATAATCATCCTTCAGGCAGTTTTACTTTTAAAAATTAAATATAGGACAGAAAACAGATTTTTGTTTTGTTTTGCTATAACAGCAAACATTAAGACACTTAAGACGATTTTAAGTATGTTGATTGTTAAGTGCCATCAAGTCGACTCCGACTAATAGCGACCCCTATGTACACCTCTGAACCATGCTTTGAGCCAATCTTATTGTCTCAGACACACCTATCCCATGACCCCAGTCACTGAGTTAGCTGCCACTCAAATCAAAAGATTAAAATCTCTCTTGTGCTGCCCCTCTACCATTCCAAGCATGATGTCCCTCTCCAAGGACTGGTCCCTCTTGTCAACATGCCCCAAATAGGTAAGACAGAGCTTCAGAGTCTTTTGCTTCCAAAGAACAGCCTGGTTTCACTCTCTCCAGAATGGATCTGTTTGTGGTCTAAATCCATGGTATATTCAATATTCTTCAGCACCACAGCTCAAAGGCATCGATTCTTCTTCTATCATCTCTACTCATTGTCCAGCTCTCTGACACAGCAAGTAATTGTGAAGACCATTACCAAAGTATTTGTAAAACCACACACAGATGGAATAAAGGGACAGCCTGGCCCCACCACTACCGTCCCTTCCTCAAATACTTTAGCATCTACAGGAAAGTACTATTTTTTTTATACTATTTTCTTTACAAAATTAGAATACATTGTTTTCAAGAACAGATTCTTCCAATTTCCCTCACTCTTCCACCCATCAAATTGTACAACAATCTTCCCCTTCCTAGTTCCCCCTCCACCCTGTACTCCTGCTAATCTAGTATGGTAAGGCTTTGTTTCTGTGTGGGGAAACTCATGTGTTTTGTGCAGGAAGACAGTACTTAATGACTTTTATAGGTTGTGGTAAAAGCTTTCTTTAAAAAAGTGTGAGTGTAGAGGTACTGTCCACTGTATTGACTTAGTTTGCAATGCTTTCATAAATTCCCCTTTACCTCTCTGCAAAAATTTGCCTTTTTTCCTCCTAATAACTTTCTGAAAGTGAAAGTACAGAATTAAAGAATATTATTTTAACAGTTTTGAACAGCTGCTGTCAATTTACTTGTCAAAAAGCCTACATAAATTTATACCTGCCTCTCATCACTGTTGTAGTGGGTTTTGATAGAAAGACATTTATCTATTGCTGATTTCAACTATCTTTAACCATGTTTATTGATTGTATTTTGTGACCTGGCAAATATCCTTTGCCTAGTTTTTTTCTTTTGGGTTGTGCCCCCTTTTCTTGACTGTGTAAGATATTTATATTGTTGTTAGTTGTTGTTGAGTTAATTTGGACTCACGGTGACCCCATGTGTGCAGAGTGAACTATCTTCCTCTGTGACCTTTTGAGTACATATTCATAGTCTGTCTGGTTCCTCAGCTTGAGGCCTCAAACTTCTTCCATTTAGTTACTGCTACTAAGGGACTGACTCCTAAGATGTGTGTGTGTGTGTGTGTGTGTATATATACACACACGTATGTATATATACATACATATATATACACACACATATATACATATACACATATATATGCATATATATGTATGTTGTATTTAAATTAGTACTTCACTGTGAAAGTGCCAGAATCTTCCACTAGTTTGTTACATATCCACATTGATACTCTTTTCGTGATGGTCTTTGACTTAATACTTAAATAGAATGTAATTGTCTAGACTCTTAGTTTTTAAAACTTGTATTTGCTGGATATTTTTGACCCAACCTTTCATTTTCAACTTCTCAAACTCTGTTTTAGGTGTGCTTCTTATATAAAATACCAAGTTGAATTTCTTTCCTTTCCCTTTTTTTTAAAAAACCCTAAATTTAGGGGAGCTCTGGTGGCCTAGTGGCAAGGAGCTGCAACTACAATCCCAGAGGTGCATGGTTCGAATCCACCAGATGCTCTGCTGGGTAAGGAGGGGCAATCTCCTCCTGTACCAGTCAGATCTGATTTGACAGTACACTCACACAAAAATAATAATAATTTTAAAAAAATTTAAAAAAAACACCCTAAATTTAAGTTTTACTGTTTTAACAGATAAACTTGTTATTGAATAACTTTTGCATGTTTTTCTTTTTTAAAAAAACTTTATTATCTGAGGGTTTGGTTTTTTTTTTTTTTCTTTCTCATTGTTCCCTTCCTGCTGTTACTTAGAATATAGTCTGTCCCTAGTGATTACTTTTCTCTTTAATAGAGAACTATCAAACTATTCAAGCTGATTTGTGTTGTGTTGTGTTGGAACTGACTCATTGCTGACTCTCCAATAAGAGGCTGTAAATCACATGGGAGGTAATTGCCCATCTTAATTCTATGGAGAAGCTGGTGGATTTGAATGACTTGACTCTGGGCTGGAAGGACAACTCCCTACCCACTAGACCACCCGAACTCCCTGTAGGAAAGTATAGGTTTGAGGACATAATCCACTTCAAAATTGAAAACACATGAACAGATATATCCATACCTATGCTTTGCAGCAGCACTATTTTCATAGCAACGAACTGGAAACAACACCAGTCCTTGAATAGATGAATGGCTAAAGAAACTGTGATACTTTCACACTATGCAGTATTATCTATCACTAAAAAAAAAATAAATAAAATCAAGAATTAACAAAAGTCCTCACTATATGGATTATATAAACTGAGTGACATAAATAAATGACAATAATTATGGTACAACTAATATAAAAACTACAAAACCATTTAAGGGAGCTCTGGTGGCCTAGTGGCAAGAAGCTGCCCTGCAATCCCAGAGGCATGTGGTCCAAATCCACCAGATGCTCTGCTGGAGAAGGAGGGGCAATCTCCTCCTGTACCAGTCAGATCCGATTTGATCGTACACACACACAAAACAAACAAACAAAAACAAAAAATCACCCCAACCCTACAAAACCATTTACACAGAAAGAATCAGTCTTGGACAGTTAGGAGGGATGAGAATCGAAGGGAAGAGGGATAAACAGAAATAATAATAGTTGAAAAATAAACCAAAAAATGGAACCAGAAATGAAAGCACAGTATCTCCTGATTTTTTTCGACTTATTAAAAATGATGAAGTCACATTCTTTGTGCTGTTCCTGCCATCCCTTCTCTCCTTTCTTCCCCTCCTTTGTGTTGGCTTGTTGCAGACCGGTCTCCCTCTCTCATCTAGTCATTAACATCATGTGCAGATGTCTGTCTTATTTGTGCCATCTGCATGCTGCCCTGGTGTGTGTTTCCAGTTAGGAAACTGGTCAGCAAAGCTAAAGTGGTAAAATTCTGTGGCAGCACCATGTTCAGGCAAGCTTCTTCCTCATTTTCTGTTGTTAGCTGGCACTCAAATCAAAAGATTATTAAAATCTCGTCTGATCCTGCTCTAGCCTCACTGTCTTTGCCATGCTTGAGCACATTTTGCAGTCACCAAGTCAGTTCATTTCATTAAAAGTAATTTTCTCTTCTGTTAACTGTGCACTTCTCTAAGCGTGGTGTCTTTTTCCAAGGATTAGCTCCTCCTGAGGGAATTCTAATGCCTCAGTGGTAAGAAACTGCTGCAATCTCAAAGGCACATGGTTCAAATCCACCAATTGCTCCACGGAATAAGGATGGACAGTCTCCTCCCATGTGATTTTCTGTCTCTGAAAACCTTCTGGAGGGTAGTTATGTGTTGGTTCTGACTCTACGATGCACAACAACAGCTCCTCCTGATAACATAATAAAGTACATGAGATTAAAATCTGACTGCCCTTGTCCTTGTACTGGCTGTACTTGTTTTAAGTCAAACTTGGTTTGTCTTTTGATTTTTGTAGTTCATTTGAAACTCTTCACCAATACTACAATTCAAAGATATCAGTTTTTCTTACATCTTACTTACTTATTGTCTAACTATCACAAACACATGAAGCAATTGAAAATACCAGATTTTCGGTCAAGCACAACAAAGTGTTTAAACTCACATCCTTGGTCCTTAGCGTTTTAAAGGGGTCCTTGACAGCTGACAGCAGAGCATCTTACAGGATGCTATAATCCTTTCCTCCATGGTAGTGTGTCCCTCTCCTTGGCCTTTATCTCCCCAAGGTAATGGGTTAGGCTCCCTGAGCACCCATTCCTTGGTATTTTGACCTGAAGACTTGTGTAGTATTAAGAGAAAATGGTTGTCTTCAAAGTGATTCTTAAATTGGGGAGGGTCCATCAATACAATTTTTC